GAGATCTTTATTCAAGCTACTGACCTCTGCTCGTCTAGCAATCAGTCAAACTCCAAGAAGTCCAACAAGTAAAAAGAGAGTCGGTCTGCTCAGCAAGTTTAGAAAGCTGAATAGAGCAAAGAGAAATAAGAAGATTGGGCGATTGAGGAACCTGATCAGCCGTCCAAGAAAAAGAAGAAAGAATTCAAACCGCATGTCTTGCGGTACGAATTCAATAAAGAGTGTTACACCATCTTTACAGAGGTGAAGGATAAGTTGACCATTGAGAAGCCGAATCCTATGAAGAGTTCCGTTTAGTCAAGGAACAAGAAAAAATTTTGCCATTTCCATCAGGAGGTGGGCCATGACACCGACGACTGATATAGCCTCAAGCGGTCGTTGGACCGTCTGTCTTACAAGGGCTTGTTGAACTCTTATGTCTTGAAGTTTAAAGGGACTTCTAAGACGAATCTGAGTCGTTCGTAAAAAAATTGTCTAGCCTGCTAGTAGCTTGGATACTAACAAGGATCCGGTCTACACAATAGCAGGCGGATTCGCAAGCGGTGGCCTACAATCCGGGGCACTAAGGATCTTCCGAAGAGGATGATCCACTCAGTAGATTATGGACAGACGTCTTCAAGAGGAACTTACAAAGACGTCCTCATCACTGAGAAGGATCGGAGAAAGCTTCGCCAACCGCATGACGACCTAGTCTTCATTGAATGCAAGGTCACCAACCAGTTCGTTGGCCAGATCCTCATAGACACGAGTAGCTCCTCTGACCTCATCAGCTACAAGCGTCTTTCCTGGCTTAATTACAAGCGAGACGGCTTGCGCTACGTCTCCCACCCATTAGTTGGCGTTGGGAGAGGAGTCGTGCGCGAAGTCGGACAAATTGACATTCCTGTCCGGCTGGGGGAGAAAGGGCAAGGGCAACACATGGTTGTCCACTTCCTCGTGTTTAAAGAGCTGACCACCTACAACATTATTCTAGGCCGACCTACTCTGAACGATTGCAAGGCTGTCATCATCCCAGCTCTCATGCTTCCCAAGTTCAAAAGTGATGATGACACTGTTGGCTCCCTTCACGAGGATCAGAAGACGGAAAGAGAGTGCTATCTCTTAGACGTCAAGCCAAATGCTTATGCATCCGATCAGCTGAAGGAGCCTATATACCTTGACGATGTCAAGGACCTTAGTTCACCCCATCCATCATCCGCAAAGAAAAGAAAAACTGAAAAGCTGGTGGAGGTGAAGAAAGAGAAGAAATATCATTCATTGACCGGGGAACGGTCAGATGATTTCCATCCCTAGTTGGCTGGTGAGCACATTGATATCCCTCTAGACGACAGCCGACTAGAACGGATGGTTAAGTTGGGGACGACCGCCTTTGAATAGCTTGGCGCAGACTTGCACCTTCTGCTGAAGGAATTCGAAGACATTTTTGCCTTTGAACTGGAGGAGATGACAGGCATCAGTCTGGATCTCCCAGTCCACAAACTCGCCGTGAATCCAAAAAAGAAGTCAGGCGACAGCTGCTGAGGTTAAGAAGTTGTTAGACGCTGGGTTCATTCAGCCTTGTAACTTCCTTGATTGGGTTACAAATTTAGTGCTTGTAAAGAAGCCGAATGGTACTTGGCGCATGTGTGTAGACTACACTGACTTGAACAAAACATGTCTAAAAGATCAGAAGATCGACAGCCTTGCCGATTCTACACCCGGGCATGCCTTGAGGAGCTTATGGATGCTTACTCTGTCATCCATCAAATACGCCTATGGAAGAAAGATCAAGAGAAGAAGGCCTTCGTCATTGATTAAGGGCTATTCTATTATACGGTGATGTCGTTTTACTTGAAGAATGAACCAGCTACTTTCCAACGGATGATTAATACAGTCTTCATTAATCAGATTGAGAGGAGTGTAAAGGCGTATATTGATGACATGATAGTCAAATCCAAGATACAAACGGATCACCTTGCTGATCTCCGAGAAAACTTCACCACACTCAAGCGACATAAGGTCATTATAATTCCTAAAAAGTGTGTTTTTGGTGTTAAGTCTGGGAAGTTTCTCGAATTCCTGATTAATCAAAGGGGGGATAGAGGTTAACCCCAAGAAGATACAGGCGGTGATTGACATGAAGCCACCTCGAACTATCAAGGAAGCTCAAAGGCTTACCGGTTGTCTGGCTGTGCTTGGGAGATTCCTCAGTCGGTCAGGTGACAAATTCCTTTACTCCTTCCAGGCAATCAGGAAGAGTACTAGATTTGAATGGGGAGATGATGCTGAGGCGACCTTTTAGAAATTGAAAGAACATTTACACTCCTTGCCAAGGATTTTTAGTCCTCTGCCAAAAGAGACACTCTACATGTACCTAGGCGTCTCATATCATTCCCTCCTTGCTGAGAGAGACAACAATCAGCTCCTGGCCTATTTCATTAGCCATGTACTCCAAAATGCTAAACTCTGGTACCCCATGTTTGAAAAACTTGTCCTTGCCCTTTACATGGCTGTTAAGAAGCTGAAACCATACTTCTTGGCACATCCGATGGTGATCTACACATATAAACCCCTCAAGCGGCCAATGACAACCCTGGACTCATCCGACATAATGCTCAAATGGGCAATTGAAAAACAAAGTCTTAAAATCACCTACGAACCAAGAAAGGCAGTGAAGGGTCAAGCGTCTGCCGACTTCATTGTCAAAATGACATGGCTAGTTCCTTCGGATAACCTTTATCAGGTTTGGAAGGTGCATGCAGACGGGAGCTCTACTATGAACGACTGTGGTGCAGGCATAATATGAGAATCCTCGGAAGGGGACAAATATGAGTATGAACTATGGTTCAAGTTCCAGGCCTCAAACAAAGAGGCAGAATATGAAGCCTTGCTAGCCGATATCCGCATGTGTAAGGCGGCAGGGACAACAAAAATTGACGCATGCTCAGACTCTTAGTTGGTCGTTAGCCAATACCACGGTGAGTTTGAAGCCACCCATCAAGCTTTGATCAAGTATCTGTAGGCAGTTAAGGATGAAGCAAGGACACTTGAACAATTTCACCTAAGTTAAGTGCCCCGGTCGAAGAACATCCAGGAGGATGCTCTGTCAAAATTGGCATCCTCTGCCCCCTGTGATACGCCTCGGTCAGTCTTTTGGGAAATAATTGAAAAGCGAAGTATATCAGATGATGAGCCCATTAGAATTTTTGACCGAAGTTCTACTTGGATAGATGGCATCCGAGCATATCTCTCAGATGGCATGCTCCCCGATTCACCCAGGAGGCAGCCTTGCTGAAAAAGCGTGCAACAAACTTCGAGATAAGAGAAAGAGAAATCTTCAAGGCGGGTTTTTTGAAGCCATTACTGAAGTGTGTTACCCCATAAAAGGGGAGAGAAGTTCTCTAAGAGTTGCATGGGGGATACTACGCCTCTCACTCAGGCGGCGGATCCTTAGCTGTAAGCGCCAGGCGGCATTACTTCTAGCCCACTCTTGATTCAGATGTCATGGAATTTGTTAAAAAAATGTGCAAGTGTCAAAGATTTGGCAAGCTTATCTATATCCTGGCTACTAATCTGACGGCAATCCACAGCCTAGTCCCGTTTGCTAAATGGGCATGGACATTCTAGGTCCGTATACGCCTGCACCAGGTGGAAAGCGATGTATTCTTGTGGCTGTGGACTATTTCACCAAGTAGGTGGAGGCAGAGGCGGTCAAAGACATCAGGACAAAGGATGTCATCTCCGTCATATGGAAGAACATTATCAACCGGTTCGTGCTACCTATGTCTATGGCATTTGATAATGGACCTCAATTCGAGACGCCTCGGCTCAAAACTTGGTTGGAAGATCAAGGGATATCACACTGTTTTGCATCAGTCAACCGACCCCAAGAAAACGGCCAAGTTAAGGCCTTGAACAAACTCATCTTAGACGTCATTAAGAAGAAATTTGAAAGGGCCGGTGGTTTATGGGCTGAAGAGTTAATTCATGTCCTATGGGCCATCCGAACAACTGAAAAAGCGGCAATCGGTGAAACCCCATTCCTTATGGTTTATGGTGCTGAAGCCGTCATGCCCATCGAGCATTATGAGCTTACTCTACGAGTCATGCTATACGATGAAGAGGCAAAATGGGAGGACGTGCAGCTAGCATTGGACTCACTCTCGGAGCGCATAGGGCATTCTATCATTTTCTCTACCAGCATAATGTAGAGAATATTTCAAGCATTATTCCAAACTTGAACCCCACTATGGTCATACACATAAATACGGTGGCGTCCAAAGGGAAAGAAGATAGAGCAAAAGAGTCGCCAACGAGTTTTAGGGACTTGTAAACCGTTCACAATGTGAAGGTTACACCCCTTAACTATCCAAGAGATCGTTAACTCCAATAGGTCTGGAACCAAGATTGGAAGTTCAGGGATGAAGGTACAAATCCAATCTAAAAGAGAAAGAACCTACCCTAATAATAGGCATCTATTTTATTCTTCACGTATTCATGGCGCTTTCTAACTAACATGCAATCATTAGGTTAACCCTAAACCTGTTCACTAGTAGAAAAAAATGCTATTTGTAATTGGCGAAATTGACTTTTTGTAACTGGCATTGTTGGTTGCAAATGCCACCGTTACAACTAGTGAAAATTATTCGTAACCAGCTAATGTTAGTTTCAAATAATGTACCATTTGAAACTGGCTTAACCTAACGTCAGTTACAAAAAGTCTACTTTCCAATTTAGAAAGCATACTATTCGTAACTAGAATTATGTTACGCCGGTTACAATTAGGGTATTATTAATAACTGGCAAATCTTAACGCCGGTAACAAATACATTTTTTTTTTATTTTTTTTTTAAATACTATCAGTAACTATCATTATATTACGTCGGTTACTTATAAATAAATAATTTTTTTATATAAATATTTGATCCGAATACGATTTTGGTAGTATATCCTACCAAACAACCCATCGTAAGATGGGTTACAGTGGTAATTGGGGAAGGAGAGAAAGATAAAAAAGCCCAAAATTTGAACTTTTCAACCTCTATAAATCTCTTTTTCTTTTAGAAGTCTACACACATGATACAAGTATCTCATAATAAATAAATAAATAAATAAATCAACTACTTGTAACACACCTAAAAGCTCTAAAGATGGCTCACAAAAATTGACAAACTTACATCATGCATTCCTAGCACCAAGGTCCAATGAATGATCGAGATGAGATATGAGGAGGAAACACCCTATTTTGTGCAAAGCTTCAAGAAGGCAGATGTTCTTTGTACAGTCGTTTCCCAAGGTCTCGGGGCTCATATCTAGAGCCTTTTAACTTTATGACCTTACTTGATACTCTCCTGCACGAGTTAGAGCTTTGAAACCCTTGTAAGGACAATTTGCTACATTTGACAATTCAAGCTTGTATATATTCAGGCCAGAAAGAGCAATAAGCATGATGCGGAACTATGCTACAAAAGTTGGGAATACATTAAGCTTTTCAAAGCCTGCCTCAAGCATTAATGTTCCTGTCAAAGAAGGGGCTTTGTTCTTTGGTATTCTGCCAATAGACCAAGAAGAGACCTAGATTTGTACAATGTAAGTTCATAGATCAGTCAAGTCTAACACCTCCGCCCACAGAAGAAGAAAAACAAAGAAAAAAAGACAACTTATCATTCATTCAAGCTTAATAAGGAGAGGTAATCTTTGTACTGATAGCTGGAATCAAATAAAAATGTGACCTTGTTAGTAAGAATGTCCACTGTTCAATTATTATTTGCTATTTGATCTGAATATACAACACAAGGATGAGAAAATGAGAGTAACTGAGAAACTAGCTGATGAATTAAAGAATTCAGTTCAGAAATTCAGCTCTGAATTCTGTTCTGAAATTCAACTCTGAATTCAGTTCTGAAATCTATCTCTGAATTCAGTTGTGAAATTCAGCTTTGATTTTAGTTTTGATTTTCAATTCTTCATTCAGTTCTGAAATTGACTATTGGAAGCATGCTCTAGCAATACACCATCATCAGATATAAAATGCTGCAGCCAATCTGTCAACAAATAACCAAACTTTGAACATTAACTACGCTCTTATTTTTTTTTACAAAAATAATAATAATGTTTAAAAATATATATTGAGATTGACTCCAAAACAGATAAATAATAAAATTAACTATCATACAATAGTACACAAAAGTAGTTAAAGTTAATCCGGGAAAAGTCGAACAGAACTAGTATTTGACTGTACAATAACCACAATAAAGAGTAAAACTGCCCAGCAAGCTCTAAAACCTAATGTCCTTGTTTCTTATCCAATTTCATTGATGAAAAAAGTTGCAACCCAAGAATGTTAATTATAAGAAGATATAACCATGAAGGAGCTTTACCGCAACATGCAACTGCATTTTTTTCCTAATCAAGTAGTATCAGTTGAAAAGTACTGCAAGATGGTTCCTAACCATAAACTAATAACCTCATACTTATCCCTTGATGACCTAGAGTTCATTCTACAAAATAGAGTCCCTTAATGAGCCAGCAAAATCCTCAAAAGCCATTTTACCAGTCAGACAACAAATAGATAGTTCAGACAACAAATTATACTTGTTTTTATAATTCACCAGTCAGCACCACAACACATAATTTATAAGCAAAATGGGAGCTTATCAAATTAGAGTTTAATGGAGAAAAATACGTACTTTGAATAGCAAACCTATGCATTACCCCCACAACACAATATTGCCATACCTGTGGTTGTTTACATTAGCATGCCTCTATTAACAAAAACTGATTAGCATAGTCCAAAAACATATATGGCGAACAGTAAGGAACCTAGCAGCAAATCAACATCAAAAATTAGTACATTCCTTAAGAAAAATAAAAAATAAAAACACAAAATAATAAGAAAATAGGACTTCTTCTGCTACCAAGAAAAAAAAAAAGTAAATATTCAATACATTTCCTTAGGTCATGAAAGTGAATTTTTGAAACCAAAATATGCCAAGATCCTCTAAGAGACTAAGAAAGATTATTGTTACAACAAATATTGAATAAAAGCATAACGTCATTTATATCCATTCATGAGCATGTGGGTACGATTGTACTAATATAGAGTATCAAAAATTTAAAATAATAGCAAAACTCCAAATCTCAAAACTCCAAATACCTCACAAACAATAATAACCACCAGCCATAAAATGCACACAAGTAAGCAACCTAGAAAAGCATTCTATATATGTGCACCCAACATCTTGCTCAAAATAATAACATCCATATCAAAGAATTAGAGTGCAAACTTATGCACACTACTCAATTATATAAACTATAGCCAAACTATATATAGCCACAGAGTTCATAATAGCAAAGCGTACAAAAACATGCTTCCCAACTATAGCCAAAAAATAGATAAATTAAATTTTGAATGAACTAATCACTTGAAGCCAAATGATAGTTACATAAAAGCAGATTTAAGATATATAATTCCCAACTCTTAATTTCAACCACAAATTGCTAGTTTTGTCTGCTTAATAATCTTACCGCTGCAATAATGATTAAAAGCAAAAGCATATAAATCAAAAAGAGGTTAATTTTATTAGACACTTTCAGAATATAAATCAAAAAGCATATCCAATTTTACATGCCTTTATCAAGGCTTGCAATTTGCAAAATATTGAAGAAATAACACTTGCAGGTTACACTTTCGGAATATAAATCATGACCTAAATCATCTAATTACAAAAGCACAAACAAAATCCAAAAAAAAAGCACAAATTCTAAATTAAACAAAAAATTAAATCACTAATATAAGAATTCAAGAGAAAATTGAAATTGCTAACCTTCAAGACATTTGAGACTTTGAGCTACTCTGACAGTTCTCGAATTTCCAACTTACGATTTTTCGCCTAAAATTCCAGAAAAAAAAGTCGTCAATTAGAAATTTAGAGTGGAGGAGATAGAATTGTGAGTGTTTATCTTTCGTTTCCAATGGAAGATATGAGAAGCAAGAGAGAAGAGAAGAATGAGGTTGAGAGAAAAACTTTAATCGAAGAAGAGCCAAGGCAATTGCAGACTTTGCCTTAGGTTCCATAGGTTCCGTAGGTTCCGCCATTGACGATGTGGTTGCAGCCACCACCTCTCCTCCTCAACCACCACCACCATTACCCTATTCACTAAAACCCTAACCCAAAACCAAACCCCCCAAATCAGAAGAGAACCCTAAAATAATAATATTGTTTCATAAATAAATACTACGATTTGTTTCTAGTAACCTAAAATTTGTAACTGATGTTTGTAAATTAGTTACAAATTTTTTTGGTCAAAGTTTTTTTGACTTAATATTTGTAACTGACGTTTGGAAGCTAGTTACAAACGTTTTGGTCAACGTTTCTTTGACTTATTATTTGTAACTGATGATTGTAAGCTAGTTACAAACGTTTTAGTCAAATTTTCTTTGACTTAATATTTGTAACTAACATTTATTTAGCCAGTTACTAAAAAAATTCAGACAATGATAAACCACATATTGATAACTGACATTTACTACGCCGGTTACTAATGTCATAAAATTTGTAACTGACATTATCTTAGTCGGTTACTATTGATGCTTTCGTAACTAGCATAACATACACTAGATACTAATAGGGCATTACAAATAGCATTTTTTTCTACTAGTGGTTTAATTTATGTTGATGGAATATTAATGCACAAACAAATCTATTATTGACCTTCACTTGATATATAATCCTATTAACCCTAAACAACATTATTAGTTATCTTATTAAGCTTGATTACAAGTACAAATTCCCTTTAACATGCATAAAATGTGTTATTAAGCAATAACAATAAATATCATATCGACATAATAATAATAATAATAATAATAATAATAATAATAATCATATCAATATTGATAACAATAATCATAACAATCATAATTAAAATAATCATGTCAAAAATAAAGCATAATAATAGCAAGATCTTAGGCATGATACTAACAAGATTAATAACAAACCCTAGCATGTCACTAAACATTAAAGATCAAAGCTTAAGCCCTAATATGATACTAACATACTATTAGGAAACATAATAGGAAGCATCATTGAAATCATAATTGATATTAGAAACTTAATTATCACCCTAAACTTGATACTAAGAAAAGAATCCTAACATGATAATAGGGAAAACATTCTAACATGATACTAGGAATCAAAATAACAACCTAATCATGATTTCTATATCATAATTTCGATTTCAACAATTAAAGTACTTACTTAGATGCCTCGTAGTTCTTTCTAATAACAAAATACATATTTTAGTAACTTCAAGGAAAATAATAAAACAAACATTTAAATTAAATAATTGAAAGAGAGATTTGGGACCAAACCCTCAGAAATATCAAACCTTTCACATCTAGGGCGAAGGCAACTTCAAACTTGGCTAGGTGTGCCTAGTGCTAATGAGTGGGGAATTTTGTTTGTAAAAGGGATAGGCTAGAAAGAGGGAGAGAGAGAAAAAGATTTATCTTAGAGAGAGAGAGAAGAATTAGAGAATTTTGGTTATTGAAAAACGGAGGTCCAAGGACCCAATTTATAATAAAATAGAATGGAATTGATAGAACGAATCAGAGTTCTAAAGGAATATAACACGCCTCTATCGCCAACAACAGGACCTGTCGCCAGGCGATAGGGTCTGTTGCCAGGCGACAACATGTCGTTTGGCGATGCAGAAGGTTTTCCACGCATTTCAACGCGAAATCTACCATTTGATAAATCAAGTCGTAAAAGTCCGTACGAAGGGTAAAATCGTAATTCCATTTAAAACACTTCATTTATTCCAAATAAAACTCAAAAAACATAATTATCAATCCTAATCCCATTAGGATTCAAAAGAACCTTCTAGAAGATTCTAGAAAACTATAATCTATCCAAATTGCATTAGGAATGATGATTCATAATAAGCCATCCTCTAGATCATTGGGCCGCATATAAAAACCAAACCAGGCCAAGTTTAGTATTTAGGCCATAACTTCCTCATTATTCATAGGAATTGGGCTTATAATATATCGTTGGAAAGCTCTTCCAAGCCCAATCCAACTACACCATTATTGTTCCCTTGTCATGGATCAAACTTAACTGGATTGGCTATTTTCATAAAATAGAGTAGTTTTCGAAAACAGAAAGAAAGATTTTTAATAAAAAACACTAACCACAACATTAAACTTTCCACACTTTCACTTCATTCGATTATGAGTCGACGCGAAAGGTATTCATCACCGGGTTCGGTTTTGGGCAGACACAAATGTGTGTCTAAAAAAGCCCCCTTTTTTATTGAGTTTGGAGAAACTCAAGTTTCCAAAATAAAAGTCAAAGTAGCGATGGGGATGGAGAATGATTCAGAACGTTCGGCGATCCTAAATCGTTCTTGTAACGCCGATACCTGCAAACTAGCATTAGTTAAATAGATAAGAGATTTAAGAAACATGTACCTTGCACCGTCGAGCACATGTCTCTAGAGGTAACTGATTTGTTGTGACGATATTCCTCAAGCAAGGGGATACTGCCTAAAGACTGCTACTCTTGTAACTGCCTCCAATTTCCGTTGTGATAATCTTCTGCAGGCCAGAGAATACTATCGAAGATTGCTTCGCTTGAAACGACCTTCTACCGCCTTTTGACCATCTTCCGCAAGCCAGGGAACACGATCGAAGATAACTTCGCTTGAAATTACCTTCAGTTGTTTTTTATAACCCTCCGCAAGCCACGGAACGATGTCGAAGACATCTTTGCTTGAAGTCATCCTCATTTGTTGCGATAATACTCCAAAGAATATTACCGAAGACCAATGCTTGTAGATCGTTTAAAGCTAGCTCAAACTTTTCTTCTACTATGCCAATACGTCGGCGCTTTAGCTGCTTGTGAACATTATGTCGGTGCTTTTGCTATTTTATAAACAATTATGTCGGTGCATTTGTAATGAGCCAATGTTTAGGCGCTTTAAGCTAAGTGAGACGATCATTTATCAGGTCAATAATCGAACCGATTACTCAATCATGTCAAGTTGCTTAGAGGGGCTAACTGGCGTACCAAGGAACCCAAACTGCTGCATGAGGTTTGCATAACCATTCTACAAGGCCTGACATTCTATCGCCGCTCTAGCGGCTGCTGGAAGGCGATGTCGTTGCAAATTCTTCATGTCGCCAGGCAAAAGATTTGTCCTCCAACGTTGCACTCGAAATTTTTGAAAAATCCCCTTTCTTCTTCATTTTTGCGTCTGCTGTTGTTGTTTGCTTGTGAATCGCCTCAAGCTTCAAATAACTCGTTCTCGCTTATTTCTCAACCAAATTCGCTCAAAGTTTTTGAAAATCAAAGCTTAGTTCATCTAGTTTGCTGACCTATGTATGTTTTATTCAAATCATTCGAAATTTGCTGAATTTTCACATGTTATTTCACGAATTTTCTGAAAATTCGAAATTTATTTACTTAATTTGCTTTGTTTGTCGAATTTTATGCCATGAGAATGTTTTATTATGTTTTTATATTGCCTTGGAAGTATTTTGTGACTTATTTGACTCAGTTTTATGAAGAAACAAACAATTCACCATTATTTGACCCCTTGAGGTCGTGAGAACAATGCGAATTGTTCTTCGCATTTTTGCTAGCTATTCTTGTTCAATTTGTAACAATTATTGTCATTGTATTGCAAGAAATTGTTTGATTGCTTGAAAATACCATATATGCTTGAATTGAATTCGTGCTATGTTTTAGTACTACGTACTCATATTTTTTTTTTGCGAACATAGTATCATGGGCTAGGCGAACCTTAGACACTATAGAGCCTTAATTTTTATCATTTTTCATAGTATAGCATGGCTAGACAACGCAGTTCTGGTTCTTGGTCTAGAGATACTCGACGAGCCCATGGGTGAAGGCGAGGAGCCATCCACCTCTCTTGGTCCCTTCCCTGAGTAGGATGAGCGGACCTTGTTTTTCACTCCCAAGAACCACATTTCTTAGCGGGTACATCGCGGGATTGTTAGTGGGAGGAGGCGTAGCCACGGCTTTGGCAATGAGTCCATTAAATATTTGTACGACAAGTATTTTTGTAACGATGAGGAGTTGCGACGGCTTTAGGAGTTTTGTGGGCTTACTGCCTTGTTTCGGACCACTCAAGCCATGTACTCTTTTAATGCGAGCCACCACGTGGTTCGAGCTTTGGTGGAGTTCTTCTAGGACACCGCCAACACCTTTCACTTTCCCTGAGGCGAGGTAATTGTCACCCCTGCCGACTTCAGTCTTATCTCGGGACTGGAGTTCCGCTCGACTGCACTGCCATTTGACAGTATGATTTCGAGGAGCTGTTGGGTCCGATTACCATTCGGGCCCGTGCCGAGGTTGAGCCGTCACGACTTAGCGCTCAGTGCATCCGCCGGTCTACTCTGGTGATGGCTTTCTAGGATGATGCGACCACCAGAGAGCAGCGCGTGCGCATATTTGTTCTTATCTTGCTGTCAGGAACTTTTTCCCATGACAAAGGTAGCCGGGTACTTCTCTATTACCTTCTTGCTCTCCGCGACCTTTAGCTGGTCGGGACCTACGACTGGGTCAGCTTGGCCTATGCTGATTTCTTGCGGGGCTTGCGAGGCTTTTATCGTCACACATCTTTCACAGGAAATATCGCACTCTCCAGCTTTTGGAGAATCGTAGAGGTATATTTTATCCCTTTTAAAAGTTAGCTCTTGATTCTTACTAGCATTCCCTAATCTTCTTTTGTCTTTGTTCATAGATTTGGTTTTACGAGTACTTTTCGTCGCTAGCGTCGGCGAGACCATCTCCTCACGAGATCCCAATTGGCGCCTGTTGGGAAGGTCGCATTAGTGATCAGGCGACTACTGCCCATGTCCGAGAGTTAATCCTCTCGGTTTGTTCTTTTTGGAAGTTTGTCCTTCATGTATTGCCTTTTAATGGACTTTTATCTCACAAACTGTTTTGCAAGAGCCTGAGGCAGTGTATCGGCCATGGGCCGATCTGGCTATTCCTGCGCTGGCTGCGCAGTACACCACCGAGCATCGCTACTTTCAAGGGACGTACAAGGTCGTGCTGTATCTCGGTGGGAGGGTGGATATTCAGCATTCTTCGGAGATTTTTGTCGTCCATGCTCCTCCGCCCCGACATATGCTCCATGATGTGATGTTGATAAACTTAGCAGAGAAGTCGCCTGCTTGTTCCCCTTGACAATCT